TCTCTCTCTCTCTCTCTCTCTCTCTCTCTCTCTCTCTCACAAGCACGTTCACATGAGCGTAGATATAGAACATATTAGAAAGTGAAACTCAACAACAATTATGACATCACAAACTGTTGTTTCCTTATTGTATCACAGCCGATAACGCTGTGTCCATGGGAAATCCTATGCCATTTCACGATTAAAAAATAATTTCATATTTATCTTTTTAACTTTATTTTTATCGTACAGCAAATGGGTTTGCCCGGTCAGTGCAATGAGGAGGACTCCCTCCAGATCCTTCAGCGCTTCTCCGAGTGGGGAGGAAACTTTATCGACACTGCCAACTTCTACGGCAGAGGTATCTCGGAAACTATCTTGGGGAAATGGCTTGAAGGGTAAGTCTGCCTTTAATGTGTGTTGCTAAGCTGCACCAAACGTATGGGTCAAATGCATGAATACATATTGACGGTTCATTTCAAGAAACCACTATGCCACATTGTTTTTCTTCTAAAATTGACGTTTTTGCTTTCCCGCAGCTACAGATCTTTCTCCGTCACATGTCTTTTCGATGTGCGGGTCGGACTTTCAATAACTTATTCACAGTCTGATCCGCACATCGAAGACATGTTATGGAGAAAGATTTGCGGCCGGCCACTGAGAAGCAAAAAACAAGAACAAAAAAAGAATCAATTTTAAACAAATGTGGCATACTGGTTTCTAAAACTGTGCGCCGATATGTATTCAAGACTTGAGATGTAATACCAATGCAGTACACAATTTTGATTATGGTTTTGCAACGCTCCACAAATACTCGTTCATTGTTGCTCGTTTAAGATCCCTTTGTGGTCCAGAAAGCGATAAGAGGAGTACGCTTCGGTCGCCCCATCCAGCAGAATTCAAAATTAATTCTTACAAAAACCTAAAAATGCTTAATGTGTCCCGCGCGCTCATTATGACCTTATTCAGTTTCGGGCGCCGATAAATGATTACAAATACAAAAGAAAAGCAAGTATGTTTGTGTCCTGAAACTATTAAAAAGTGTATAAGGTTAGTAAAAAAAATGCTTTTGTGGTTAATAGGCAACACTAAAACAATGGTCTAGCGTCCAGTCGCTGAGGGATGCAGACCATTCACTGATTACGCTGGATGTGACACATTTCATCTGACGCCATTTAATTAATAGGCGGTGCCCATTGGAGGATCAGTTCGGTTTGGTTTGGTTCGGTTTCTGGCGGCTTCAGTGCACACCACTATAAACAGATCCCTGCCTCTAACCAATCGCCCAACTAGCACCCTTGAAAACAAACGAGTTTGTTATTGAAGGTCATCGTCGTTTCGTTTGGGTTATGCCACGATGGCTGCTTTTCTCCCTCTGTGGAAGAAACTTGGCTGGCCATGACGACCAAACCGAACCGAACCGACACACAGCAACAACAACTTATATCGGTATGTTTGTGTGTACACCGTCTTGTTCGAAAGCTTTCTAGATCTATATTCTAAACACAACATTTCATTTTAAACATGTGTCTCTCTCGTTTTTCCTCTTGCAATTCCCTGTTTCACTTTGTTTATAATCAGAACATTTAATAAGTATTATTATGTTTCTCTCGACATGTAGTTTTTCCTCTCGCCATTCCTTGTTTCTCTTTCTACAATAGAACCACAACATTTCATTCTAAACAAGTTTCTCTCTAGTCTTCCCTCTCGCCACTCCTTGTTTCAGGCAGCCGAGAGACAAGTACGTTATCGCCACTAAAGTGTTTTTCGACATGGGCTGTGAGAACAACGTGAACAACCAAGGATTGAGTCGTCGACACATCACTGACTCCGTCGTCAAGAGTCTGGAGCGGCTCCGTACAGACTACATCGACCTTTATCAGGTAGCTGTAACAGAAAGTGAACGTAAAGGATTAGTGTTGAAAGTAAAGAAAACAGAATGCATGGTAATATAAAAAAGCTGTAAAGCCTTGTTGTATTGTAATCTCATTAGCAAAGGTGAAAAGATCAAACAAGTCCAACAGTTTAAATATCTAGGATATATGATAACATCTGA